CCGGGCATGTCCCACTGGGAGGAGGCCCCGGGGAAGACCCAGGACACGCTGGAGGGACTATGTCTCTCGGCTGGCCTGGGAACGCCTCGGGATTCCCCCAGAGGAGCTGGATGAAGTGGCCGGGGAGAGGGAAGTCTGGGTTTCCCTGCTGAGACTGCTGCCCCCGTGACCCGACCTCGGATAAGCGGGAGAAAATGGATGGATGGATAGATGGATGGAAAATATAGCCCCAATGTGGGTGCACTCTACCAAAAAAGATCTATATTCTGATTATGAATTTTCAAATCTTTGTCTCATTTTGGTCTTCATTGAAAGTCTTGATCTCGGTCTTGGTTGGGATGGGTCTTCATCTTGACTTGATCTCGAAACAGATGGTCTTGAGCAGAGCACTGGGAGTTTGTCTGGTCACCACAGTGCCAGGAGGCCTTCTATAGTCTGAAAAGGCCCAGAGTCAGGCCCCGGTGCTGCCCTTTATCCTAGAGAACAGTGGGGTAGAGGTGGGAGGGCTCTCCCAGGGGGGCGGATTTGGGGGGGGGGGGGGTCGCAACCTACAGTTGTGTGTTCAACAAGGTGGATCAACGTTATTGTGTCACCCATGGGGAGCTACTAGTGATGGTGCATTCTCACAGTAGTCCAAATTTGAGACCACACATCTCTGCAACTTTGTGCTGCAGTGGGAATGGAAGGAGCCGCCACCGATGAGGAGAGGTGGCAGGCGGTGTCCCCAGAGCCCTGTGAGTGGTTTTACTCCAGGCTCTGCACGAGGCTCCAGGGTCTGGCCACTTCAGGGTCGAGGACATCTGTCACCACTGTGACCTCTGCACAGCACAGAAGGGCCCTATGGGCAGGTCACTCTCCCAGCTCCAGCAAAAAGAGCAGCGGTGGGTGTTTTAGTTTCTGACAGGGGTAACAGGTACCTGCTCACAGGGATGGATTACATCACCCAGTGGCCAGAAGCCTATGCCATCTCTGACCAGGAGGGGGAGACAGTTGCTGATGCCCTGGTGGAGGTTCTGTTTAGCTGGTTCAGGGAGCCAGAGACTATGCACAGTGACCTGGGGCGGAACTCTGAGTCTGCGATGTTGAACTCCCTGTGCAGCCGGCTGCGCATACACATGATCCACACCTCCCCCCTGCGACCTCAGAGTGACGGCCTGGTGGAGAGGTTTCACTGCACCCCGGAACAGCTGACCTGGATGCAAAGTGTTCTGGTGGTAGTTTGGAGATGTCGATGCTCACGTGCTCCAAAAGATTGTGTGCAGATTATTTTGGCTGTTCATTACCAAAACATAATTACTCGTTTAATCGACCTTGTTGGCATTACAACATATAACAGTGTCTAAAGGTATTCTGAATAAGGTACATTTTGAGTATCCTACCAGAATACAATATTGAATACAATCAGGACTGTGAATCAGGCATTGATATGCTTATTCATAGTATTCTGCCCAAACCTGCATGGTTCTCAACCCTCACACATACACAGACAAGTAACAATTAAAGAGACAGTGTCATAAACTTGCTTTTCACTGTGAACACAGACGTGTTTTTATCCATCATCCTCCTGCTGTCCAGTCCCACACATGTCAGAATTAATGGGTTTAGACCAATCAGGGCTCAGTCCCACACACACAGACCCAGGAATCGAACCCTCAGTGTGAAGCTACAGTACTGCCCACTGTGTCGCAACACCTCTAGGAACCAGCAGAGGGCGCTCACAGTCTCTCCTCCCTGCACCACTTGACCAGCTCCACCGGTTCCCATCAGTGCACCAGCCTCTAGTTCCCTCCTTTCCCCTCTGCCTATTTAAGCCCCAGCTCCCCAGCAGTCCTCATTCGGACCTTGAACCCCTGGCTTGTGTTTCCCTACCTGTGCTAGTACTTGCTCTCTCTGTTTGCACCTGGTTCTGCTGTGTCCCAGTTGCCCTGTCCCTGCAGTTCCTGTCCCATACCCTATTTTTACCCTTATCAAACCCTGTTCTCATCCTTCCTCGCCTCTGGATCTCTGCCTCTTTTCTGCCCCCCCCCCGCCCCCTTACACCCGGTCGTGACACACTGAGCCTCCACACAGCAGAAGTTATTAAATGTATTAGAAACACCCTAATAATTATTAAATGCAGGGAGACTCACCTAATTTAAATGTGTTGTTAATCCAGGCAAAGAGTTGGGAATAAATAGCAAGGAACAGCATGTTAAACAGTACAGGATCATCTGTAAGGCAAACAGAGCAAATCAGACACCCTCATTCTCTCATCAGTCTGTACAGATATAACATGATATTAAATGACAAAGTGTCCTTGGGCTTTTCCTCCCCTGAGATAAATCCTGCCGTCCCCAGGGCCCGACTGCACTGTGAGGTCATGCACACTAAGGCCCATTATCCGAGGGCAGCGGGGGGTCAAAACACTCTAAGTCTAATGCCCCAGTAAGTCAGAGGGTCCCTCAAAACCTAGTGGCATGATAAAGTTGGGGGCCGGCATGTGCTGGCAGGGGGGGATCCCTGGCCATCCCATGTGGCAGCCAGGTGCCCCCCCCAGCCCGTACACTCTACACGTCACCCTACATCAGGTCCACACAATAGCATCCTACTGGATAAAATGTCAGGTGTCCAGGTTACAAGTGTTCTGTTAAACACCAGAACCTGCAAACTCCTCACTAAGAGCAGACGTGAGACTCAAACCCCCAGCCCCACTGGGCCGTGTTAGGGCTGGGTATTGTGACCAATTTGGTGATTCGATTCGATTCTTATTTTTATGGTTTCGATTCGATTTCGATTCGATTCGATATCGACTAGCTATCAATGTTTCATTTAAAACGTTAGTTTTGCAGACATGGGATCCATATTTTGATATAAATGCTGGTAACTGAAACTCTCCTACTTAAGTTTATTACTGAAATACACATCTACATTAATAATAGGGTGTACACAGTTGTTTATTTTAAACAACTTTTATTTTAAATGAACACTGTAGCAAGAAGTCATAAATATGTTTTTAGTGGAGCAATTCGAAAGATGGTGACACCTTCAGGACGAGAGGTGAATATTCATATCCTCTTACGTGAAGCACGCGCATTAAGAATCGATTCGGGGATTTCCCGAATCGATATTGTTGCGTTAAACTGAAGATCGATTAAAATCGGAGAATCGATATTTTTTACCCAGCCCTAGCCTGTGTCCCACGGAAAATGCTCTAAACCTCATTCTGTTCAGAATTCTTAATATGCCAATGGATATAAATGTTAATGTGAACAAATAAATTCCCATAAATATACTTACACAGGAAATCACTTATGATTACAAGAATGTCCCTAAGTTGTACTGTTCTTCCCATCCTTTGTAAGCGTATTATCCGAAACACACTGAGACCAGCTGAAATAAGGGAAGATAGGTTTCAGTCACCAGACACAGAGTGAGAAAACAGATGTGTTCAATAGTCTTGTGTTTAAAACCCTGCACAGCACTGTTACCTAGGGGTTCTGGGTTTGAATCCCATACTGGATGCTGCACTAAAAGTGCACAGCAGATTTAAATGGGTTATGAAAGGGTGTTTTAATTGGGTATTACATCATAATGCCCTAATTATGTACATATTAATTATGGCACACTTTTAAATATCAACATCATTTCAATGCTCAAGTTTAACGTTTGTGTGTTTAATTCACTACATTGTAGCAAATAAATATATCTATACCTCATTCTGTTCCAGTATTTCTGATGTTACAAAGTCTAAAACAATTAAATTACATACATTAAATACATTCTTTACAAAACCTGAAAATATACTTACCTGTGAATAAAACTATGCTGACTGGAAACATTAATAAAGTGGAAAATGTTCCAAGTTGTTCTTTCCAAGTTAAATTGGAGTATTTTGCCAGATAAACACTGACAGCAACTAAAATAAAGTAAGAATAGAGTCAGTCACCATGAAATTCATGTCAGACAGAGTACAAACACAGATGTGTTCACTGGTCCTGCACAGGCTTGTCACCTGGGGGTTCTGGGTTTGAATCCCTTATTGAACATTGTGGCATGAATAGTACATCCCAGAGTGATTGACTTGGACATGTGATCGCACATCCCTAAATGTACATATTATTTGTGAAAAAATAATTTAACAATCCATGTTGTACATTGGGCAGTGTGGTGGTGCAGTGGTTAGCACTGCTGCCTCACAGCAAGAAGGTCCTGAGTTCAGTCCTTTCTGTGTGGAGTTTGCACGCTCTCCCTGTGTTCGAGTGGGTTTCCGCCGGAGGCTCTGGTATCCTCCCATGATCCAAAAGTGTGCAGGTTGATTAGCGAGTCTAAATTGGCCCTGTAATTGTGTTGGCGCCTGCCCAGGGTTGGTTCCTGTGATAGGCTCTGGTCCCCCCGCAACCCCATTTGGGATTGTGGTTGTGATGATAGATAGATGGATGTTGTACATTTCTGAAATCCCAGGGGCCAAAACAAACTACATAAACATTATCCTTCCATCCATAACCACTTCTGAAGTACAGTTCCATGGCAAGACTATCCGTAAAAAGCCTAGAGCAGGGTACACCCTGGTGGGGTGCCAGTTCATCACAGGGGGGGGACCAGAGCACCTGCAGGCAGAGGCATCATGCAGAAAGAGACTGAAGGGTTTTAGATTTAGGTTTGTTTAGCCTGTTTCACACTATTTCTTGAATGACAGTGCATATAATTATCATCTAATTACTATATAATTATCATTGCTAGCGACAGATTTTTTTCTGTATTTACGGCGTGTAAATTAATTCTGAACAACACCGTTTACTATGTGCTCAATTTGCAACTTTTTGTTCCTCGTAATTCCACAATGTAAGGAATGTAAATGATGTTAGTAATCAAACCTACAACTCCCACGATCCTTTGCTTCAATAAGTTTACATGGCAGTGAAGAGCAATATGCTAGACAACAGGTACATGAAAGGAGTGCAGTTACAGGTAGCTTATAGCATTTAGTGAAACGAAAGTTTGGAAACACATTAACATTTATTCCACCAACTGAACAGCTAATATACTGATTACTGCACTGTATCATTCATATACAAAATCACATTTTATCCTGTAAGAAATGTGACTGGGGTGAGACATAGATCACATACCTATAGGCTGGTCTAATACACAGCTAGATTATCATGGTTAAACAAAGAAACCTGAGGAAACGCTGCATCAGAGACAGAACAAGCAGCAAACAGGACAGAAGGAGCGACAGGGTCTGTGACTGTAGGTGGGCATGTAGCTACTGTAGCAATCAGCCAGGAGCAGCTCATCATGTGCTGAGTTTATGTTGTGGAGTCTTTGCTGTTGATTTAGTGTTTTTAGGCTACAGAGGAGGAGGAGGTTGATTTAGTGATTCCCAGAGAGAGACTGACAGGGACAGTTACATCAGGAGAGGCCATATTCAACTGGAAGTAGGAAGCTCTGCCAAAACACTCTTTGGAGGCAAACAGGAAGCTGCATGTGGTAGGATGATGCTTAATGGGGTCAAAGATGGGGGGGGGCATATTTACCCATCAGTGGTGTCTCCTTTAAGAGCAGACGTGTCAGTGATCGTCTGATAGTCTGTAGCTCACCTTATGTGTGAGCTGGGCTGCTCCTTAGCACGTTGTGTACCATGGAGACTGTGGATGGTATATATTCTTTTTTTTAGTGATAAAATTGTTATTGAACAATCATTTACATGGAAGGAAACACAACAGACACCTCCCCTGCATCCTCCCATACCCTCATACCCTGAGGCAGCATGAAAACACAAAAATCCGTAAACAGAAGAAGGCACTGGTGCATCCGGCCCCAGAGAGAATGCAGCTGAAAGGTGAGAAAAAAACAATGACAAAAGTAGAAATTGTGAAAATAACAAACAGAAATATGAAAAGGCAAGTAGTTATATGAAAAAAAAATCACAAAATGACCCCCAGCCAGCCCTTGACTAGCTGCACATCTCGAAGCCAACTTTGAATGGTAGAACTAGAGGAATTATTAATCTGGGCCGCAGACAGTTCAAGCAGCACCAAATTAAAGAAGATAGACAGAGGAATGGCACAGGCAGGAGATTTTCAAGTGAGAGGCTAATGACAATTTAGCCACCAAGGAGGTGGACATCAGAAACCTCTGCTGGGAGTGAGGAAGAAAAAGAGAGAAGAAAGACTGCAGTGGATAGAGAAATGGAACAGAAAAGCACTGATGAGAGAGAGCTGGCCACAAAATCCCAATGAGCAGCAACAGGAGGAAAGTTCAGAACATATGGAGAAAGGTGCCAGGGATTTGAAGGGGACAGAGATGACATAGAGGGTCAGGCTCTAATCCCATGAGATGGTGTGTCCTGGGAGTGGGGTACAGTCAATGAACAAATTTTAATTGTGTTTGCTGATTATTGATTAAATATTTCTGAGGTGTGCTCCGCGGTCGTGGTGATTGTCGTGCGGTACTCTCTTGCGATTCTTCAGTGGGTTTCTTGTGCTTGATCGCCAAGCTCTGTAGAAACTTAACCCACCCCACAGGTCTCCTTGCCTCAGTTACATTCTGTGCAGCATGTGGGACCCCGGAATAGTTTTACCATTAAAAACAAACTCCCCACGTGGGTTCCACGATGTGACGTCTGGGTTTTCAAACATTTTGCCCATCATATATTCAACCCTTTTCTTGCTGCGCTGTGAAACATTTTTAATTACGTCACCTAGGGGCACGTGAGGTTGTGACAATGTTGACTGCTTCTTCTGGGGTAGGTGGTGATGTTAGTGTCAAAGACAGTCTCATCATCACCTTACTTTTAAAGCCAAATGATTCAATACCGCAACACCGCTGTATACAAACAATCTTTTCATGGTCAGCCACATCCGCCTGTGATAAAATGCTACGTATCTCAGAGTCCAATTCGCTTTCGGCAGTCTGTCTTATTTTGTCTTTAGGAGCAGTGGCATTATGTAGCTTTTCAATCTGGCTTATAGGGACCAGATACATTTTCTGCACACGCTCCATCCCTTAACCACATTGAAAAAGACTAGTAAGGAACGAAAGATTAATGGTACGACTTTTCTTATCTTGGAAGAAAAGGTTCTGTACCAGATATATAATACTTAAACTTCTATAGTGCATGTACTTGGTAAACGTTTTTACCACTTTGTTGTTATCGCTGGCTTTTTCCATAAGGTCATCAATGATGATAAGTTAGTTTTATTTGCCGGCAAAAGTTCATCGTCACACAGAGACTCTGGTATTCCTTCCACAAAAGTAATGCTCTTTATTTTCTACAACAATTCATCATACAGAGGTTGCCAGCATGAATAGCACCACACAACATTTTCAGGCACTCTGGACAATGAATAAAGCGCATTTTCTAAGAGTCTTTTAATGAAATACAACTTGCCAGAGTTGCTCAGTCCTGAGACAATACACGAGAAGGGGTGTTGAAGTCTATTGTTGAACCCCTTACTAGAATCCATAAGGTAAGGTTGTGTAGTCTGGCTGAAGCTGACGCTTAGTGTACATAACCTTGAAGCATTTGTCTTATTTTTCAAATGGAAACCCCATTTATCCCGAACTATCAGCTGTGTCCATGTTGTAATCTCTCTAGGGACCCCTTGTGGATTACTTGCAAAGTCATACACCAAGTCTGTGAGGGATGCAATGTTGATTATTTTCGCATTGGTGTTGTGCAGCGTGATTCCCTTCACTTTCATGCAAGTTTTACAAATCCCGTCAAGGAATCTGGACATCAACATTTTCTGCTTTAAGACTATTCCACTCATGTTCCCAAATAACCTTGACATTAACATTGTATGTGCGCTGTAGGGTTACAACCTGCTCCTGAAACTGGTGGTGCATTGAGCCAAAATTCAGTCTTGTTAGAGGGTTTACCATGTTTGAATCAAAACATTTTGGACACCCATTAAAAAAACACCCCGCAAATTCAAAGGCTGTACCGACCCCATTGATTTCAGCATAGCCATCAAGGTAGTACCCAGCCATTTTTACCTCACAACTACTGAGAGCGTGTTGAATGTCTAGTTTTTCACGTTTGGCTAGATATTTGAACCACTGTATAGATGCCGTGGAGTATGACTTTCGCCGTGTAATGTAGTTGTCTGGGGTAGTAAGCACCATGGTGTCTTTAGGCAAAAAACTTGTGCAAAACTGTTTCATACAGAGGTGATGGTGACACACTGAAAGGGGTCTAGACTGCAAATGTTGAGAATCTCTGCCCTGAACCTGAGACAACCCTCTCTTAAAATGACCATGTCATTTTTACAATACTCTGCCATTTCTTTACGGAAGTCAAACACAATCACAAACAGAACTGTACCATTCCATAAACTCACACTTCTCCTTATCCATCATGGTTTGTACACCATATGCTTCGGGTGGTGGTTGGGGACCGATGTAATTTTGATTTTCTGCAGTATTCCATAAAATAAATAGCCTTTCTTTTCACTCTGAAACCCCAGAGCTCAGTGCATGGAAATAGCCTCCAGTTCGGCAGCATCATGTGAGACATAGGGATTTAAGAGACGTGCTACACAGTACAAGAAACATAGATTATTGTCAGAGTTGGGACTAACGATAAGACACCTGAGCCTTTTTCGCACAATGTTTGACTTCAAAAGGCTCGTTCATTTCCGTCATGCAGCCACACCACCATGACGATTGTGGACTAATCGAACAACTAGTTCCAATGTTTCATCTGAAAAGATCTCGGTCTTACTTTATGAAAGATTCTCTATCATCATACAGTAAGCAAATCATCTAAAGTGATTACACCTCTAGCATGTATGGTAACCTGCTCGGCTACTGAATCACCCTGCAGTTCAACTTGTATGGCATCATTTGGGCCCGCTAAAGCTCTGTCCACCATATTTTGGAAGGTTTGTATCACCCCTCTGTAGAAATCTATTATGTCATCATGCTCTATACCATAAAAATGAAAATGTTGTCTTATTTCCGTATTGTTGAATGTGGGTCTGTGTGTTACATTAACATGGACATTAGCAACATCGCTGTTTCAGGGGTGGCCATAGGAAACAGATGGTCCTATCAATCGTACCACATCTAGCTAACGGGTAGACTTGCCCTCCTGCTGTGACCATTAAAGGTTTGGCCTCTCCTAACACCATCCTGTTGTTTCCGACAGACCTAGCGGAATACTAGAGCCAACTCTGACTAAACTTTATAAAACCAAGTTAAAGCGTTTAAATTCACCCTCTAAGAACTTGATGACTATGTTTTTTTACAGCTATATCATAACGCATTTGTGCTGATTTAAAATAACACAGTAACAAACACGACTAATGTTTTTTACCCCTTAAAACCTTTAGCTGTCTGGCCATCTTTCATCTATAACAAGAAAAGACCGATGAGTCTGGAGCAATATTAAAGTGTTTAAAATCATTCTGCTAATTTTTTTTTAAATTATTATTCCTTAACACGTATTTAAAACAGAACATTAACAGATACGTGTAATGTATTTTTATTCTTTTAAAGACTGTTGAATCCGTTTTGGTGACATCTGTTTTTTTTTTTATCTTGTGGGCGTAGGAAACACTGTCAGCAGGATACATCTAGCTAATGGGTGGACGCGTCCTCCCGCTGTAAGCGTAAGTGGTCTGACCTCTCCTAACACCATCCTGTCGTTTCCGACAGACTTTACAGAATACAACAGCTAATTCTGACTAAACTTTGTAAAACAAAGTTAATGTGCTTAAATTCACCCCTAAACACTTGATGGCTAAGTATTTTATGACTATAAAATAACGCATTTTCTTAAAATAACACGTTAACAAACACGACTAATGTTTTTTACCCCTTAAAACCTTTAGCTGTCTGACCCTCTTCCATCTCTAACGAAAAGAAATCGACGAGTCCGGAGCAACATTAAAGCATTTAAAATAATTCTGCTAAAAGTTTTTTATTCCTTAAAACATATTTTAAATAAAACATTAAGAAATATCAATTATGTATTTTTATTCTTTTAAAGACTATTGAAACCTTTTTTTCATAGGAAACAGATGGTCCTGTCAATCAAACCACATCTGCCCTATTAGCATTAAGGAACAAACCCACCTGGAAACCTCCCCTGTGATGTCATCAGAGCCCCCCACTAAGCTCCGCCCAAAGTGCCTATTATTCTCTCTCTGGTGGCTTTGTATATAATCTTCACAGTGACTGATGTCCTATCAAAATATTTTCAAAGAGAAGATATGGACATTGGCACAGCTGTAGGACTGGTGTGTGACTGCAGATTGGAGCTCTCTCAGCTGCGGACTGAGGAGGTGTTTGAGGAAATATGGAAGGAAACAGACACTATAGCCTCAAAGATCAATGTTCAGTGGAGAGGTGAAGAGAAGTAGAAAGGTATTAAAGAAGCAAGATGAAATCAGGTAGAATCAGACCAAGCTTACTCCAAAAGATGAACCAAGAGTTAACTTTTTAGTAATTACCTTTAGCATATAGAGCATTACAGACATGTTCAGTCATTACACTTTGCAGCTTCTGAGATGAACAGACTGCCTCACAAACCCCAGAAGGGAGAAAATCTCAGATCTCCTTCAGTGGTGTGGTTATTACAGGGGAGTGTGTCTACCACCCAAGAGGAGACAGAGTACAAGCTGTTCATACATAAATAACAATGGGAACATAGTCCTCCTTACTGGGCCTTTATACATTTCTTGTGGAAAACAACCTTCTGCAAGCCTACCCAGATTTAGGCTCACTCTGCCAGCCTATTATCACCCTACCAGCCTATTATCACTCTGCCAGCCTAATATCACTCTACCAGCCTATTATCACCCTACCAGCCTATTATCACTCTGCCAGCCTATTATCACTCTGCCAGCCTATTATCACTTTACCAGCCTATTATCACTCTGCCAGCCTATTATCACTTTACCAGCCTATTATCACTCTGCCAGTCACCTCTTGTAGCAATAAAATGTCCTTTTCAGCACTAAAGTTTGTCAAGAACCGACATGGGATTTTCACCCAGATAACCACCGACTCACTGGATGTTTTTTCTTATTCGGCCCATTTTCAGTAAACCTGAGGATGGTTGTGTGTGAAAATCCCAGCAGATCAGCAATTTCTGAAAAACTCAAACCAGCATGTCTGGCACCAGTAAACATGCCACATTCAAAGTCACATAAATCACCTTTCCTCCCCATTCTGGTGTTTGATGTAAACATTACCTGAAGCACCAGACCTGTATCGGCATGATTTTATACAATGTGCTGCTGACATATGATTGGCTGATTAGATATTTTCTTCAATAAGCAGTTGAACAGGTGTACCTAATAAAATGGCCAGTGAGTGTATGTTGCATATGAAGCTGCCCCCCCACAAAAAAATAAGGTGCATGACGCCCCTGCATGGAGGGAACCAGTGCAAACACGGGGAGAACATGCCAACAGCACACATGGGAACTTATACACAGACTTACTTATGGATGAAGCCATGATGACCAGAAATATAATTCCAGTTATTCCTGATACATAGTCAAGTACTTTCACTCTTTTTTCTCGGTCTTCTGAATATTTTGTCCAAACCACAAAGTGGACGACTGAAACGAGAAGAAAACAGTTAGCAAACATAGAATTCATTTCAGACAGAGAATACAAAACAAATGTGTCCTGTATTTAAGGCGCTGCTCTGCACAGCCCTGTCAGCTGGGGGATAAGGGGTTAAATCCCATGTCAGACACTGTAGCAAAAAAAAAAACAATTTAATTTGAAGGTATAGACAGGGTAACAAAAGGTAACCCAGGGTGCTGGGTGTCACGCCCCGCTCCGTCCGCTCCTAATGTGTGCCACGCCCACCTCATTACCTCCTGTTTCTCCCTGATTGTTCTCACCTGTGGCTCGTTACCCTTAGCTTGTCTTTCGTATTTAGTCCTCGTCTGAGTCAGTCTTCTCGAGACTTGTCATTAATGTTACTCGTCGTTCTTCCCCGTCTTGTGGATTCTGCCTCAATAAACCCCGTTTGCCCTACTTCCTGGCTCCGTATCCCTGCTTCCCGGATTGCCTTCTGCCCGACGGTGACAGAATGACAAGTCTCCCCGAAAACACAGCGTGGCAGACCAAGCACCAGCGGCTCGGTCTGCTACAGGAGGCTGTGTACTGGCGCTCCCAACCCGAAGTGCTGGAGGATCCTGTAGCCCTGGAGCTGGCCACCCGGGGCACGGACCTCCTCACCGAGGAGCGCCCGCCCGGACAGCAGTACCCACTCAAGCGGGTACGCAAATGCTTACGCCGCCTGCATGAGCGTCTCACGCAGCGGAGAGACGAACGCGTTGCCCGGAGCCTGGGCGACGTGTTCGCAACGGCTCCGCCTTCCGCCGCCCACGGAGAGAAGAAGCAGGGAAAGAAGAAGGCAGAAACACTGCAGGAAGAGACCCCGACTCTCTTCCTGGGAGCCTGCTCTCTGCTCCCCGCCTGGGAGTTAGCCAGGGAGCACGAGGGCTCACCGCTTCCCTGGGATGACTTCGCTGCTACCCGCCTGGCCGGCTTCCACCGAGAGAAGCCGCCTCCGTTGGAGGCTTACTATTATCGGCCAGAGCGTCTGGGGCACGGTGGAATTCGCGCCGTGAGAGACGGCATTCCCCGGGTCCCTACTGCCCTTAAAGGGGCAGTCCCTGGCTTACCGGCTCCGGACCTGCCTGCTCCGGACCTGCCAGCGGCTACACCTGCTGCTGCTGCCGCCGCTCTGCCCGCGGCACCCCCTGACCCGCCTGTCCTGCCTGTTCTGCCTGCAGTCCCTGCAGCTGGCACCGCTCTGCCTGCGGCACTGCCCGAGGTGGCTGCGGTTGCGCCCCCTGCTGGCCGCGTGATGGCGGCGCCCGCTGCGGCGCCCCCTGCTGGCCGCGTGATGGCGGCGCCCGCTGCGGCGCCCCCTGCTGGCCGCGTAATGGTGGCGCTCGCCGTGGCGCCCCCTGCTGGCCAGGAACTGAGGATGCCCGCTGCAGCTCTGCCCGAGGTCCCGGCTTCGCCTCTGCCCCCTGCTGACCACATGATGGCGGCGCCCCCTGCTGGTCGCACGCCCGAGGTGCCTGCTGAGGCGCCCCCTGCTGGCCACGTGACGGCGGCGCCCCCTGCTGGTCGCACGCCCGAGGTGCCTGCTGAGGCGCCCCCTGCTGGCCACGTGACTGCGGCGCCTGCCGAGGCGCCCCCTGCTGGCCACACGCCCAAGGTGCCTGCCAAGGCGCCCCCTGCTGGTCAAGTAATGGCGGCGCCCGCCGAGGCGCCCCCTGCTGGCCACACGCCCAAGGTGCCTGCCAAGGCGCCCCCTGCTGGTCAAGTAATGGCGGCACCCGCCGAGGCGCCCCCTGCTGGCCACACGCCCGTGGCCCTGCCCGCGGCCCTGCCTGACCTGTGGCTCGTTACCCGTAGCTTGTCTGTTGTATTTAGTCCTTGTCTGAGTCAGTCTTCCCGAGACTTGTCATTAATGTTACCCGTCGTTCTTCCCCATCTTGTGGATTCTGCCTCAATAAACCCCGTTTGCCCTACTTCCTGGCTCCGTATCCCTGCTTCCCGGATCGCCTTCTGCCCGACCGTGACACTGGGGGGCAGGAGAGCTTTAATGTACAGGCTTAATCAGGGGCCTACGCTAAAAAAGGACCCCCCCATTGATCTGGACAAATACAGCTTTAATGAGAACAGTAGTGGGCAGGATCACTGGGGGCCTGGAGCCTCTCCCAAGCAGCACAGGGCAGAGGTACAGCTTGGATGGGAGGCCATACACACAGTCACATGCTATGGGCAACTTACAGACACCAATTAACCTGAGAGGGAGACTTTGGAGGAAGCAGGAGTAGCTGGTGGAAACTGACATGACATGGGGAGGACTCAAACCCACATGACATGGGGAGCACATGCAGACTGTACACAGACACAGAGGAGGGGGGACTCAAACCCACATGGCATGGGGAGCACATGTAACCTGCACACAGACACAGAGGAGGGGGACTGAAACCCACATGACATGGGGAGCACATGCAGACTGTACACAGACACAGAGGAGGGGGACTCAAACCCACATAACATGCGGAGCACATGCAGACTGTATAAAGACACAGGGGAGGGGGAGTTCAAACCCACATGGCATGGAGAGTACATGCAGACTACACACAGACATAGAGAAGTGGGACTCAAACCAGCAGCCAGGAGGTGTCAGGCAGCAGTAGAAAATAAATCTCTATGTATAATTCTAGTCCAATACCCCTGAAATCCATTTATAAACATACTCACTTCGCAATATAACAAAAAAGATGAAGACGAACATGATTCCACCAAACATGCCTCCAAATGTTGTTTTCTCCGTTTGATCTGGGGAATATTTCCCTGAGAACTCAATGAAAGCACCTGAAATGAGGTAAGAATAGTCAATCAGCAAGTAATTAATGTTAGACACAAAAAAAAAACAAATGCATTCAGTTGTTCATTTGTGTATCAGATGCTTTTGTCCAAAGTAACGTGTAAGTAAGGATCAGAGAGCAGGATCAGCCTGCGGTTAAGTTCTAACCCATAGAGCCACACAGGTTAGGAAGCAGATTAATAAGGGTCATGAAAAGTCAGTGAGGGTGTTTGGCTGGGAGACATTATTCACCCTAAATCATGCTTCCAAACAGCTATAAAGCCACAAGCACAGGGGAACCAAATGAGCCAAACAGCCTGTATGATTCCATCCAGGTAAGTGGATAAGTGTGACCCCAATGAGCACATATGAAGGCAGAGTGATGGGCTGCAGTCAGGCCTTCTGTGAAATTCCAGGGCATGAGGGACACACAGGGATCAGGAGCTGGGCCCCCATTGGAAGGTGAGGGGCCAAAACAAGTAACATTCACATCAGGGACACATTACTGTTACAATGAAACTCCACCTACACATGTTATACGCTAGTGTATGAGGAGGGTAGGATTAGGATATCCATCCGCACTAAATACCTGATTACTGAGGCCCCCCGGGGAATGACCCTCAGTACTACAGTCATACCCCAGCAAGGATCGAGTGATTCCATATGAAACACACACAGCTGTCATTCCCCTTTCACACAGCCAGCTCACTGAACACAGAAACAAAGTACCATTCTGATCATCAGCCTTAACAGACTCCCACGCCTTCCACTGCACAAGAACAAGCTTACAGTATGTTACAAAATCAGTGTAAATTTACCACCACTGCATTTGCATGAGTTCTGCATGCACTCTCCCAGCCAATCATAATCATTTTCATCTACTGTGTCTACTTACACTATGTGTAAAATTCAATTATATGTATATTCTGTGGATTCTGAGCTTCGCCATTTCGTTTTTCCATATTCTTTTATATGGAAAGATGACAATAAAGTTCACTTTGACTTTGACTTTGCTGTTTGACTCATAGACAATGCAGCACATTTGTGGGAAATTGAACAAAAATGAGTGAGGAAGAGAAACTCAACCAAGAAAATTTGTCTTCCGCTGTATGTAAATATTTTGTATTCCACAGAGATGATACTGAGCAAAACCCAGTGATTTGTTGGCACTGCTTTGTGGCTGTTGGCACGAAAGTGACATAATCACACAGTGTGGACTATTGATGACACCACTTCTGATTGACAGTTTGCTGTGTGTGTTTTTGTTGTTTTTGTTGGCCTTGTTGCTTATTTTCTTAACAAGGCCATATGATAACACCTATAGCACACCTGCTCTTTACCTGCACAAGCCCTCTTCCTTTGCTCCTGCTCTGTGTTTGCATCTGTGCCCAGTGAGTTTTTCCCTCTTGCTTCGTTGCTGTTGCCAGTCTGTCTTGCTGTCTTTCAGGGCAGGTTACCTGCTCACGCTTTTCGCAATTTCTTGCTGAGCAGGGTAATGAGTTTTGGGTTGGCTAACATGCACTGTCTGATTAGCATGGTTCAGTTTCAGGTTACTTTATTTGTACCCGTAGGTAGATTTGGGGCACAGTCATGAGTCATACATCCTACATACACACTTCATCACAGGAACAACTGACAACAAAAACAACTTAAATACAACTTACTCAAATGCTATGATCTATTTATCAAAGTGATGGCTGCTGAGCCATTTCTGTGGTTTTTGTTCTCTTGCCCTATTCATCACAATCGCGGTGGATGGAAAAAAAAATCTGCTAAGTCAAAAACAGTACCGTGTCATGCTATGCAAATATACATCCAGCACCATTGGTCTACAGTGGAGTGGGCGGTACCAGGAGCTGCACAGAAAAGGGTATAACAACTGTCCTGACATCTTTCCGCATATATTAATCCTCCAAGGGCAGGACCCCCAATCAAATGCACCCCCACCCCATTAATATACTGTATATACCCCTCTAGAGACATGTCCCGTACATCTCCAAGAATTTTTCCTTTGACCTGACACCAACATACTACAAAACCACATATCGGGGGGGGGGGGGCACAGCTCTTTAATCTTCAGCATCAGTCAAAACTGAGCCAGCAATATCATCAATGAATAAAGAAGTTGCCAAACAAGTGTTGAAACAACGTTTAATCCTTATCACAAATGGTTGATTTGGATAGATGGCCTTTTCAAGGAGCAAGATCAATGCTAAATCAACATTGAAGATCAACGTTGTTTCAACCTCTTTGTCTGATATGGAATCAATGTCATTTCAACATATGTGTGCTATCTTGGTATTGAGCACAAAATCTTTCTTTTTGCGGACGATGTATTGATTTATTTATCTGACCCCCCAAATTCTTGATGAGATCATTGAATAGTTTTGGCACTTTTTCAGGCTATAAAATTAATATACAAAAAACTCAAATTCTTATGTATAACTATGACCCTGACCTTAGAATTAGAATGGAATGAAACTGGAAATTGGAAATTGGAATACACAATCAATGAAATATCTTGGAGTATATATGCCGAAAGATCTGAATACTCTCAGTTCTATAAATTACGAACCCTTATTTTTGAAATTGAAGACTGATTTTGCTAGATGGAACCTGATTCCTTTCTTTGGACTAGGAAGTAGAAAAGATACGATAAAGATGAATGTTTTACCTCGTCTCTTATATCTTTTCCAGACTTTACCCGTAGAGGTTCCACAAAAAAAATTACTGAATTACAATATATGCTGTATGAATTACTTTTGGCTGGGCCATAAGGAAAAGATTTTAGCTGGGGGGTCATTTTATAGCAAGCCACTATGCCGTTCTCTTTAATTTTATGGTAAAAATTATGTCTCAGCTGTAGGTATCTATAAAAA